TGCGCGCACATCGTCACAAAAAACCAACACCTTGAATATCTGTTTAAACGTCGGTAAAACAGTCTGGGCCACTAGTTGGCGCTTGCTTTCTGTTTTATTGACAAGTTGAATGTTGTCATGGCGTAGTGTTTATTTAAATCAAAATGACCATTCAAATGGACAAGAAAAATGCAATTCGAAGAGAGAAACGTCCCTCTAAAGTGCTCGAAGAAAATTATTACGCCAAAGAAGTATAACTTCTAACGCGTGTACATAAGTACACACGTTTTTTTTTGTGGAAAGGACGCACAACATCAGCCACTAGGCTGGCATCACTTACATAACCAAAAAGTCTAATTCTAAGCCCGCATATAAAATACACAAAGTCTATGAACAAACACGTCAAAAAATCATATTAAATAAATCTATCTATCAGTCACGCCCTTTTTCCCGAAGGGGTAGCCAGAGATCTCCACTTGCTACGGTCCTAACATCTCTCTCTTCATCCACTTTCATAACATTTACCATGCATGCTCATCGATGGGTAGTTTTGGCCTATCCCTTCTCTAGTACCCCCTGGATATCTCTACCTCAGCAAGGAAGCTTCTCATTCTTCGTTCTAAAAGACCAAAGCATTCCCCTTCATATACACACAGCTACACTGATAAAATACATCTATATCTGGAATACTCTCAAACCAGATTGATTCTTCATAAGTCATAACATAATTCGAAATCAATAATTCAATCGTAAAATTGAAAATGGCCATTCGTATCACGTTTACAACCACTTACTAAATGTAATCGCAAAACTGTTAATAATTCATAATAAATTCGATATTGTGGAATAAATATTAGATTAGCTGGGAAGGGCGGGACTCACGTTTCACCGAAATATGATTGGCCCGTTCTGGAGGGAACATCGCGTGCGTCAAAATTCCGAAATGGATCAACGTATTTCAATTGTTAAAAAGTTTTAGTGTTTAAAAATCGGTTTAAAGATATTGGGAAATGAATTTTTTACGGTCAGTAACTGATCAAGGCAAAAGGCAAGTCACAGGAGGCTGATCGCCTGCTTGACTTTTAGTTTGACAAATGATCATGAAACATATTCAGAAATCTGAGGCCCAGACCTAAAAAGGTACAGCGCCACTGATTTTTCACCAATCAAGGAAAAATATTAAAGTTTAATGATTACATTACATTTTGGTTAAATCTCTATATAAACCGTTGTTTAAAAAAAAATATTCTGAACAATCTAAGAGACAGTCCAAACTTAGCCCTAAGTATGGTAAAAACGAGTTGGACTTCGACATTCAGGAGTAATGTTACGTGCAATCTCTTTAATTTAATATTTTCTTATTCTTATTCTTATTTCATTCATCGCAATCAAAATACATATTATTGATTCGTTATATAATCCGACTTCAGAAAACCCCAATAAGCTTACGACGCGTATTTCTTGTATACCTATTTATATCCTTACGCCACTTGCTACCCTGACATACCTCTCTCACTTCATCCACTTTCATAACATGCTGTCCCTTCTCGTACTAGTGTCTCTCAAGTAATTCTCCTGCATTTGGTCCAGGTATGTACAAGGGCTACTCGACTTCACCATCCATAGTTGGCTTGTATATTTTACCTGTAACAATATCAGTTCCTGATAATTAAGTCTTAAATATATACGCTTCGTACAGTTAAAGTTTCTCTGTCTACCAGAATTCAATACTGTTCACCGACATGGTGTGAAAGCGTCACAAACATTTATAATTTTATAAAGGATTACAATATACACAGACTATATTCATGTTAACAAAACTATAATATTTAATGCGGCCTTTGTTTGGCAAAGGGTGAAAATTAACAATTGGAGATCTGTCAAAAATGACAAAGTGATTCGTCATACAGCTGCCTGTTAGAGGGAGAGGCGAGAGCGGGATAGAGCGAGTCGTGTAACAATCAAAATGTGAATATTTTATTATTATTTCTTTATATTATGGGTCTGGTACAGAATACCGGCACCTACTTACCTTATGTGTTGATCAAAGTCAAAGTTCATTTATTCATGTAGGTAACACAATGTACACCTTATGAACGTCAAAAAAGAAATATACATTAAATGCTTCTAATTTTACATCTACTGCCAGTTCTCAAATGAAAGGCGTAGAACGGAAGAAAAGAACTGGCAATAAACTCTCCGCCACTCTTTTTAATCGCCGAGTTATTTGTTTTACTTTGATTTGATGACTCGAATAGACATCCGAAAAGACTTCCACTGTTGGTACCAGCAGCCATATTCTTAAGTAAGAACAGCTGAGAATATAGAGAGAGGATATCATCTCCTACTATGAAAACTAATTATCACGTCATAAACCCCATTAATGTTGGTGATGAAAACCGCCTCAGACACAAAAAGTCGGTGAATGTCAGAAGGTAGATCATCTTTTTGCCAATTACACCATGAAACAGATAAAAATAGTGGCACTACAATCTTTTTTTCTTAAAAAAACACGCCGTCGACTTTTTGGGTGTAAGGCCCGGTTTCCTCACGATGTTTTCCTTCACCGTTCGAGCGAATTATAAATGCCCACGTAGAAAGTCCTTTGATGCACAGCCGGGGATCGAACTTACGATCGCATGTCCAAATAGTACTACTAAGGTTGTTGCGCCACTGGTTTTTTAACCCAAAAAATGTATGAAGAATCTAATAAATTAAATTGAACATAACTTTCAAATTGTTAACTGTTTTACAGTATAAATCCCGACATACGAATGTGTTACAAATATGCACTAAATGCACTGAAATTAAATTCTCCCTGACAGTTCCATTACTAAGGTATTTAAGGAATTTTCAATTACGCTTGATTAAACGAATCCGAGGTCTTCGTAACGTAAGGAATATTGTTCGTATCATGGTTTAGACATAGACATAACATTTATTACTAACAGAACACACACACAAAATAACAATTATAAAAAAAAATACAAAATAAAAAAGAATGAGAGATAACAATTGGTTTTACTTTTAAAGAACAAAGTACGGTTTAATTGTGTAATGCGTGTGTGTTGTGGTTGTAATTGGCCCTGGCTGCTGAGGAGCAGACTGTTCCACAGCGCTGGTCATTCTGCCAGAGACCACAGCAGCTACTTTACGCCATAAATTTTCTTTAAATAAATGTTACGTATCAACTAAATAACACACTCGAAGTAACCACAACGTCACAATGTCTACAATGATTAATTATACACATTTGCGGCCCTTTTACAACTGACAAACAATCTTAAATAGGCTACCAGAATATTTTTCAATTTTTAAAAAATGCTAATAACTTCACCAGTTAACAAGACCCCTGATCTCTTAATGCGTATTTGACAATTCCCGAGTAGAGGAGCTCATCGAAACTGGTCGTCCAAGAATAATTGTTCTTAAACGGTAGCATTGTAATGAGTGAAAAGTAACACATTGTGATTATGTTTATGAGTTGTAAAATGTGGCTTCTGGTGATTTAACGTCTCAGACAATGGCTGACGTTGAATAGACAAGTGACCACAGATTAAACAATGGAATTTGAATTTCGAACATGTCGAATACAGATTAAAAATTACTGTAGTTTAGAGAGTTACTGTGGCTTGTTAGCTAAAGTTTTATAAACTAGCTGCGCTGTGCAGTTTATTTATTTATTATCTTATAGCTAACATACATATTATTAGTATGTTAGCTGTAGATTACATAAATAAACAGTATATATGAAACAAAAATCATAAGTAAGATGTACTAACTTATGATTTTTGTATAAGTAATATAAAAAATATTAAAAAAAATTAAAATAAACTGAAACTTAACATTAAACAAACGACATTGAATACTTAATATTTCAAAGCAAAAACTATATTGTTTTTGACATTAGCAAATTATGGCGAATTATGCGCAGTAATCACTCGCAGTGACGCAATGTCATAGAGCCTATAGATCTGTCAATGTTCATCTTCTATCCTGTATTGAAGATCACACAGTCTCATTCACTCACTCCAGTTTGGAAGTTATGCGCATACATTCTTGCGATTAATTGTTGACACACTAGAATTATAATCGCTTTATTAGATTCGTAAAATTAGGGGTTATTATAATTTTATGAAAGTCAGCGGTGATGTTATAGTGTCATCTATTTATGATATAAATAACGCTACAACCCTAGGATCTTGGCCTCAGATGGCTTCCAATTCTTTGATCAGATGCACAAGTAGGTGATCAGCCTTCTATGCCCGACACACGTCGATTTTTGGATCTATTCACGACGGGTTTCCTTGCTACGTGCCAGTGTTAGATGCGTAGCCAGGTACCACTTCACGGTTAGAGTCACACGCCAATACTGCTTTAATTTCTTATAATACCGAAATTACCATTAAGTAGAGATATGGGTTCTCTCTGCATCTTCTACCATACTTACCATAGAGAGTGTTTAGAGGAGATGTTCGGATTAATACCTGCAGCTGAGTTTCATCATCGGACGTCGAAGTAGAAACCCGTATAAACTCGACGTCAGTCGTTCCACAACAGAGCGTAATTAAAGGCCCTGGCGCGCACCACCCCTATGTGGAACCATCTAGTACTGCTGTTTTTCCGAACCAATTCGAAGGGCTCTTCAAGAAAAGAGCATACCAATTCTTAAAAGTCCTCTGGTATTGAGAGTGCCCATGTATATCACTTAACATCAGATTCTACCCATTTGCCTCCTGTTTAAAAAAAAAAAAGAGAATCGAACGTAATCAATGAGTCGCCGGTGGTCCATGAACCATGTCAAATCTCGTTAAACTATTGAAATTACATCTGAAATTAGCATTTTAACCTTTATCTCTAAGACATAAATCTCAAATTACTGTAACCGTTCAACAGCTTCTATATGTACATATATTTCACGGTTATAAAATAGTTATAATTTACTTTGGCAATTGTTAAGTATATTGTTTTAACTAATTGCTACTGTATAGACTGTGTTAAGAAATAAGCTTTAAATTAACTTATTTAATCGTGAGTTTGCCGTCCATATTTCTGTTTGGATCAGAGTCCTGGTCAATAGATAGAGGCGTTCCAAATGTGTGTTGGAGAATGTTTCGGCTACTATGAACTGCAAAGCCAACAAGTCCATTCTCATCCAACTCGTCTACTTGGTCCATATTGCCAGGAGAACCTGGATAGTCTAGACTAACTAGTAGAAGTGATGGTAGGAGAAGTCGGGGACGGCCTACCCGTTCTGACCAAATAAGGGCAATTATAGTTCTGAACATCTAATGCCCACATGCGGATGATAGAGTGGTGTGGAAGTAGCAAGTCAGCGTATCGGTTAGGGCTTCAGATAGGCACAACCTTCAGTAAGACTAAAAACAAGAGGATTAGTGAAGGAACTTATTATTCGGAACTGCTTGTCTCCTATTCCCGTGAGACCATCCCTAATCACGATTGACAAGTGCAGTACTGGTAAACCAAACAATATTAGAAGCTTTTCTTAGCAGTGCAGTGTTGCCCTGATGGCTTGTTCTAGTCATTCCTGAACCTCGATTCTGGCTCTGCACAAATGGACTTCCTATTTATGAATATCACACTCGATTATGAGGAAGCCGGAAAGCCTTGAAGATATAGGGTAGATGGCGTGTGTCTGGCACGGAAGGCTGATCACCTACTTGCCAATTTGACAAAATAAATGAAACACGAATTTGATAGAATTCTACTGCCAAGGCTAGCGATTGTAGCGACACTGGGTGTTATTGTAATCATAAAAATATTGACTATTCTATTACGTATTTTAACTGACTTTAAAAAACGATCCGTTATCATTACGGCGGGTAGCAAGCATAGCTCCTTCGTCAATTAAGTATCATAGAATTTTGTAATCAGATTCATTCATACCTAAATTTATGAAAAATTCAATTTTTCCTCTTGAATGTTTCAAATTGTGTGTGTGTGTTTAGTTACTAAAATAATGACATTAAGGTGTCATTATTAAATCATAATATTCATTCCAGTTTTAACGATTGCCACGTGAAAACAAAATTAACATCTTGAGGGGAAAAAATATTTTGATTAAAAATTTATTCGGCCTGGGGTCGGTTCGACCCTAAGCTCTGTCAGATGTCAATCTTGGGTAGGGATGCTGTCTATTTTTTATTGTCTGTGATGGGGTGACCGTGCGTGAAATGATTCTGAATATTTATGGATAGAGCGGATTATAACTTGTAATTGTCAATGCAATTGAGATTGTCAACTGTCAAATTAACACTAAATTGGTTGATTATGAATTAGGGCTTTTAATTGTTTATTCCTCCTCCTAGTAATCCTCATAACTGTAGTCGTTAACATAACGCTTCGTAGTAAATACCACTCGTATCTTGGTTATAGAAACCGGGATTTTTAGTCCTAGATAAAAAATTCTGTCCTAATGAAAAATTATCTTTCTATAAGCTGGATCGATTTTGATGAAATTTTTGTGTGAATTTGATTTACAATAAGATTGTTAGATGTCAGGCTAGTATAAATATACATTAAGAATATATAATATCTAGTAATAATAAAAGGATTTTTAACATAAAGGCAACCCCACACCAGGCGACAATTACCGTACAAAGGTGCAACAGATGATAATTGTAAGCGACGTATATAAATATTAATATGTCTGTCTGTCCGTTCGAGTGTGCCTTTTTACGTCCCCTAACTGTATTACATTAGTGAATTAGTCAAGCGTGAACTGGGAATATTAAGCATTTAATAATCTGTAGAATAATAAAAAAAACTTTATTTAAATGACGGTAGGTAATTTATAAACAAAGGTTTTCTTACAGACTTTAACTAGTTTATTAGCTTCTAATGATTAATTCTACCGTAGAACTTAAAATTCGCATATATAAATTTGAAAATGGAACTTGCGCAAGTACCCACTGTTAGGTACTTTCGTTGATATATTCGTGTTTAGTCCGAGAGTGAAGGAAAACATCGAGAGGAAACCGATATACCCAAAAAGTCGATGGCGTGTGTCAGGCACAGGAGGCTGATCACCTGCTTGCCTATTAGATTAACAAATAATCATGAAACAGATACAGAAATCTGAGGCCCAGACCTAAAAAGGTTGTAGCTCTACTGATTATTAAATAAATTATAAAAAATACATTGAAGTACTATTGTCTCTTTCTGTCAAAGTGTGTTTACGCTGTGATGAAAAGGGACAGAACACAGTACTAGACACTATAAATTATAGCTTTAATCATTAACATTTTACACTTTTTACTTGTTGACTTAATTATAACACATTCAATTAAACCGTGTTTATAATTTATTTGCTTATAAGTAATAATTATTTTATACATATAAAAAACAATGGTGCTTTATTGTCTGTTATTTCTGTATCTGTTTATAGAAGTTCTATTGCCTAAGGTGGGTATCAAACCTACGACCGTGGGGGTCGTACTGTACCTAATACTCAAACCTAGTTAATAAAAAGATTATTTTAATTAATGTTCCATTGTATCTTTACAGGTAAGACCGAAATATGAATTCAAAGAAGAATTGGATGACAGTAAGTGAATAGTATAAAGCATCTTTGAAAAGGCCGGCAACGCACTCGCGAGCCCTCTGACATTGAGTATAAGTAACACATCCATAAAAATGTTTCATAGAAAAAAAATCTTGAATTATTATTTTTTAACTGTGGTATTGTGTAATAATCTGTGGACAGGAAATAAAAAAAAACAATAAAATATCTAATTAAACCTCAGAAACAGCATACTAAGCGTTTTACGACTTAATAAAAGTTTCCCCGATACATAAACTCCGCTGTCACTTTAGTCTCTATAAAACTATAGAAAAAGTGATCTAAAAACCTTAAAAATTGTGTTTAGCACAGTGTATTTGTATCAGTTGGGCTCTCGCAAACGCCGAGTCTTTCACTGTAGAGCTTAAGATTTAAGTGTAGTAGGATGGAGCTTTAATTGAGTGCCTGTCACACTGGGCACAGCACAGTATATACTTCTATATGTTTCCATTGTGTGGAATAAATGTTTTATTATGGATGAAATTAAACAATTACACATGTTTTTGTGTGCTTAGTATTGATAAGAAGTATTTTACTAATAATTAAAAATTATATTGTCTAAGGTATAATTCTCTATCCTGTATCATACTTGGCAGGCATAGGTCCATATTCTAATTCCGATCTTACGTCACAATCTTGTATACAGAAAAATAGTCTCAGTCACTGCTCTTGAAACTAGATTTACGCACACAACGCTCATCTAGAAGCACGCTGGACTTTCACCCCTTCGTTGTTGACATCCCCAGGTGCCGCACGATTTGGATCGTCGTTTCTTGTTCACAGCACAAGTGGAACTACTTGCCCCTAGACAGTTTAATATAGGTTTATTTTAGCGGCAGTTAAATAGGCATTTCCTGGACAGGCCTGCCCTTCAATAGGCCGCATCTCACTAAACATTGAAGATTGTAGCCTAAGGTCTGTCCAGTTCTATCTCTGAACTTCTACCTTAAAGGTAAATGTCATGAAAAAACAGTTCATTTACAGTTTAATAAGTTATTAATAAAGCGTTTTAACCAACTGTTTGAACTGTGCCGAGGTCAATTAGAGCGATTTTAACAAAAGTTTTATTAATACATTTTATTGGGTTATAAAATATTTAATTGTAATAAATACCTGGAGACATTTATGCGCGCGTTGAGAGAACAATCGTAAAAATAACTATAAATTTTTTTTCGCATATTGCGCCTGATTCTCTATCTATTGAACCTTTCAGAAAATAGCGTATCAATGATTAAAAGACCGGCTACACACTCGCAAACCCTCTGGCTTTGAGAGTGTCTCTTTCATGTTTATTAGTTTAAAATACTTTTGAACCAAGCTTTTATTTAAATATATTTTAAAACATCGCTTCTTCACTCGCTCGTGTATTTTACGCTTAAAAATAAAGCTTTATCTAACGACTTTCTTCGAAGTACCTAATATTATTATTACAATATTTTGTAGTTATTTAATAAATAATAATATAATATTTTAAAATCAAAATTTAATGTTTAATAAAAAGTGTTTTGGCTTCCGAAATGAAAATCTTCCATCACTCCCTGTGCTACCACTCACCAATTGCTGGCTTTTAGCTGCAGCAGGAACTCCTCCAAAGCCTCGTTCACCACCCCATCTTGGTTCATGGGCTGCAGGTGACTCAGCCAACGTAGTCAATACCAGTACCTACAGATCTGTTAAAACTGAAAATTTTCTCTTGTTAAAAATATTAGTTTAGTTTTGATTCGTTCCGTAGAATTGCGCCAAAACTAAGCCAATGTCTTTTCATATCATGTGTCTTATCGAAAGCTCATCATATTTAATTCAGCTTTGAAAAACCTAAACAACTTCGTTGAGAATTATTTAAGAGATAATTTATCTTAGAAACGTCATTTCTCGTTTCCATCTCCCCTAATTTAAAAACTCAGATAAAACTTGCATAATCTTAACAGCTGACTTATTACCGGGCTGTCATTTCGAAAAAATTGTAATTAAACTTCAACAATCGCGCGCAAATATCTAAAACGTTCAGTCAAAACGCTCTAATGCTCAGTTAGAAAGAGAGAGATGTCGTCTGCGCTGCATTTATGTATACGTTGGAAAGGGATAAGGGAAGAAAGTATTGTTTTAAAGACATTTTTAATTTCCCGAAGGTGATTTATCACTTTGTTTCGACTCGGTGTGAATATGGTATTTTTTGTGCTGCGAGGGGAGCGAGCGTCCCCCGCGATGATTTGAATTTAGAATAGAGTGGATTATGGAATGGAGAAATGCCTTTGCGGGTGACGGATGACTATTTTGAATTTGGAACATTTTCGAATGAGATTTTAAAACTGGCTGAGCGGAATTTATTTCTTTTAAATCCCTAGATTTATTCCAAATTTGATTTCGTAGATTTGAATAAAATTAAGTAAAAGTATTTATAGACTAACAACTCTACGGTTTATGAAATAATTGTGCACTACAGATAAAATTAATGAATTTTGACTGATTTCGTTTTTTCTTACGAAACGAAATATATTATTCACTATTAAGTACGGATTTTTCTAAGGTTTATTGAGTTGTAAAGTTCACTCGCTGCCTTTTAAAGTAATCGGCTTATTGCGAGCTTAAACGTCAAGACCTTTCAGCAATGTTGCGTGAACGTATTTCCGCAAATAACTTTGCTCGATTTAAAAACACCATATATGCCATTTAAATGCCAGAATTAAAAAAACTATTACCATTTTT